CCCAGAGTAGATGAGTTACTTGACCGTATGGCTGGGGGGGAATTACCTGACCACTATTGATTTGTATAAAGGGTATTGGCAAATCCCCTTGGAGCCTGCGGCCATCCCAAAGTCAGCATTCGTCACCCCATTTGGCCTAGACCATTTTAAGGTCATGCCATTTGAGATGAAAAATGCCCCGGCTACTTTCCAAAGGATGGCTGACTGGCTCCTAGAGGGATTTCAGGGCTTCGTTTGTGCCTATCTGGATGATATAGCTATCTTCAGTGGCACTTGGGAGGCCCACCTGGAACACATTTCAGTAGTGCTCAACCGGATTCAAACTTCAGGGCTCACCTTGAAGCCCAAAAAATGACACGTAGGCATGGCCGAAGTCCAGTATTTAGGACACAGAGTAGGGTCTGAGAAACAAAGGTCAGAACCCGCAAAAATTGAGGCCATCACTCAGTGGCCCCAACCCCGGACTAAGACACAGGTTATGGGTGTTCCTGGGCACCGCTGGTTATTACAGAAAATTCATACCTGAAAACAGTGCCCTGGCCAAACCCCTGACTGACCTCACTAAAAAGTCCCTGCGTCGACAAGTAGTCTGGTCCCCTGAGTGCGAGGAGGCTTTCCAGAAACTCAAAGCTGCGTTAAGTGCACCTGTGTTGGCGGCACCTGATCATACTAAAATATTTCTCATTCACACAGATGCCTCAATGTTTGGACTGGGAGCCGTATTAAGCCAGGTTGGGGACGATGGCATGGACCACCAGGTGACATATCTGAGCAAGAAACTACTACTACGCGAAGTCAGCTATGCCACCGTTGAAAAAAAAGAGTGTCTGGCATTAGTTTGGGCCCTTAAGAAATTGCAACCGTACCTCTATGGACATTCCTTCACAGTAATGACAGACCACAACCCTCTGATTTGGCTTAACAGAGTGGCCGGAGATAACCCCAGACTACTCAGATGGAGCTTGGCACTGCAACCCTATAATTTCACGATGCAGTATCGCCCCGGGAAGCAGAACGCCAACGCTGATGGCATATCCCTACAGACTGAACTGGAGAAATAACACTGTCATCCGGACATCCCCTAGCCGACCCGTTAGGATCTAAGCGGGTATGCCATTCCATGGGACTAAGGGGGAGCTGTGTAACGAAACCCCTGTTTGGACAGACTCAGGGAAACGGCATTTCGTATGATATTCATATGTTTGGCTATTTCGTGTTGTTTGTAAAAGAGCAGAACAAACTCCAGAACCACCCGACTCCCCACCAGAGTTGTGTGCAGCCCATTAACCACCCAGACCTTGCGGTTAACCGCAAGTAATTGTTGAAAGGCTTAGTGGTCCGCGTTCGTTTGCCGAACACGTGGCGGTGGCCATTTTAAAATCGTCAAACGCTCAGCGGTAGATGGTCGTCGACGCCCTGGAACTGTTTTTGGGCACTTATTTAGCCGCACACTGCTGAAGCGTACCAAGTTCCAGTCCATTCATCTACTAACTCTCAAACACTCTACTGTTCGGGACTTTCTTACCATACGAACTAGACCGACCCCAGGTAGCTGCAGTTATGGAACTCTTTTCGGATTCAATTGCACAAACAACCGGTGAACTAAAAACTTTACTCGACGGTATTGAGAACTGTGTTCGTGGGATCTGAGCGATATTCGTCTATATTGTGCGCTCAGATCCAAGCTATCTGGGGGTATGTGGAACATGGAGACTACGTTTGGCGAAATATAAGTTATGGATTTTAATACAGTTTTGTCAAAATGTAAAAAGGACATGTTTCTCTCTACCTGGAGATAATTAGGTTCTCTCCAACCACTTAAGTTAATTATCTCCTGGATAGAGAGGAGGGGTTGCACTGTTACTGTGGGTGTGTTTAATAATTGTACTGTAAACTGATTGGTTCTGTATTTTGTGTCACAGTTTTCCACATAGTCGCCTGTGGGAGTTTCCTTACTGGGAGACCATCATAAAAGGCCGAGTGTGGCCAGCATTAACCCCTTAATGCCGTTACGGCGTTCTATGCCGTCCCACATTAAGTGGGCTTTAAAGCCGTTGCGGCGGCATAGAACGCTGTAGCGGCTTTGAGCCCCTGGAGGTCCACGGTACTCACCTACGCTGCAATCCTCTTCTGGAGGGCTGCCTGACAGCCCAGGCAGCCCTCCCCCGGCAAATGAGGCCCCTTTGTAAGTACATATATTAGTATTAAAATACACTTAGAATGACGTTACATATATACACACACACACACTATATATATATACACACACACACGTATAATTACAATAATAAAATTAATAAATAAAATATTGAAACTAAATTTTATATAAATTATATATTAATATGTAACTTCATTCTAACTGTATTTTGTTATTTATATATATTGGTAACAAAATACACTTAGAATGACTATAATATATATATATATATATATATATATACACGAACACATACATACATATAGACATACATAGATACAATTACATAAGAGATTACCTTTGTATACACGTAGAATTTAAATACCTATAAATGCATATATATTAAAATTCTACATGTATATTTAAGTAATCTTTTAACATAATTATATGATTTGATTAATCAAAATTTGATTGACATGCCTGACAACACAGGGAGAAAGTGCAGAGAATTTAATTCACAAGCACTATATTTGACCCTGTAACTCTCCAAGACACCATAAAACCTGTACATAAGGGGTACTGTTTTACTCAGGAGACTTCACTGAACTCAAATATTAGTGTTTAAACTGGTAAATTGTATTACAACGATGATATTGTAAGTAAAATTGAAGTTTTTTGCATTTTTTACAAATGAACAGCACTTTTATGGACTATATTATTGTTGTAATATGTTTTACTATTTTAAAACACTAATATTTGTGTTTAGTGAAGTCTCCCGAGAATAACAGTACCCCCCCATGTACAAGTTTTATGGTGTTTTGGAAAGTTAGAAAGTCACTTAAGGCTTGCATTTAATTTTTTTGACATTGAAATTTGCCAGATTGGTTATGTTGCCTTTGAGAGCGTATGGTAGCCCAGGAATGAGAATTACCCCCATGATGACATACGATTTGCAAAAGTAGACAACCCAAGGTATTGCAAGTGGGGTTTGTCCAGTCTTTCTAAGTAGCCACTTAGTCACAAACACTGGCCAAATATTAATTTTTTGCTTTTTTCCCACACAAATACAAATATGAATGCTAAGTTTGGCCAGTGTTTGTGACTAAGTGGCTTCTAAAAAAGACTAAACATACCCCCACTTTCAATACCTTGGGTTGTCTACTTTTTCAAATGGTATGCCATTATGGGGGTAATTCTCATTCCTGGGCTACCACACCATCTCAAAGGTAACATTACTAATCTGTCAAATTTCAATTTGAAAATGGAACGTTCGATATTTGACCCTGTAACTTTCCAAAACACCATAAAACCTGTTAATGGGGGGTACTGTTGTACTCGTGAGACATCGCTGATTACAAATATGTGCATTTTTTTGCAGTAAAACCTAATAGTATTATGACATTCACAGCTAAATTGTCAGACGGAAATACAAATTTAAAAATAAAAAATAAATCTTATTTTCTCACATTTTTTTACATTTTATTCATAATAAATTATGTTCCATATATGAATAGTTAATGATAAATTAAAGGCCTGTTTCTCCTGAACAAAATGATATATAATAAGTGTGGGTGCACTTAATGTGACAGCAGTGAATTACGGGTGAACAGACATAGCGCAAATTCCAGTTTTTGTTTACGTTTTGTTTTGATCAGAACGTGCACTATTGACTCCATTCTGAAGGGGTTAAAGCAGATCGTTTTACCCCTTCATGAAGTCTCGACTCATGTTTGGGGAATTGGGAGCTATAATCACTACTTCGCTATTATTCTGCTGGGATTTCGGAAGAAGCTGCAATGATAGGTCCTACAGGGATAACAGGATCCTTTACAATTACCTTGTTCTTATTTGATTTTACAAGTACTTACTTTAACATTGAAGTTTTCTTCTTGTATGTACCTCCACATATACACTGAATACTGCACCTTATTTGAAGCAGCTGTGTCGACTACACCACCTATCCTTAGACGAGGATTGTTCCGTCCATGCGCATTACAGCAGAGCCTTAGTTAGCTCAATAAAATGTGAGTGGAAGACATAAAGCCATAACCTTAATAACTATTTTTATCATTCTGTATTGCACTTGTCTTTTTTTTCTTATTCTGAGGTTTGGTGTGTTAAGCTACTTGGAGACCTATGTACGTATAATTTTTAAACGCTATTTTTCATTTCTCAGTATAGCAGCAGGTGCTGAATCCTTCAAATTCCTGCAACCATATTGTATATATGAATATGTGTATCTATCTTAGCATGGTTGTATATTTATGTGTGTCTCTGTGTATGGGTGTAATTATGTGCAATTGGGTGTAAGTATGAATCTGTGTACATATGAGTGTGAATAAATTCTAGCCATGTTTGTAAGTGTGCATATCTGTGTTTGCGGAAACGTATGTGTGCATTTTCTAAAGCTAAAATCTAACACAGAAATGTAACTGTGAATGTGCTCCTGCAACTTCATAGATAAATACATTAAAGAACAGAGAAAGTCTTCTTACTTTGTACTCTATCAAAAAACAGTGCAAAAACACTGAGATGTGTGATCAAACTAAGCAACAGAAAGTCTCTTTTTATTCGCTATAGTAATTTACTTCAACCATTTTTCTTGCAACCACACTAGATAACAACAACAACAATATGCATATATTTAGACTTAGCTTCAATCACACAGACACAGAAAATAGTAGAATGATGTAAATGGAATTAATATTTATTGATAGACACAGCTGAAACCATATTCACCACATTAAGACCACAGAAAAACATTTTTGTAGGACCTCGTACGCCAGTCAAAACCTGTGCATGTGGAATATTAAGCTATTTAAATGAATAAACTGGAATAAAAGAATGCAGGAATTAAAATGGAGCAAGCTTCAAAATTCAAAGAACTAAGGTTTTAGCCAGCAAACTGGATTAATTACCCCCTATGGCAACATTTAATCCGGTCAATGATTCACATACTTGGGCGGTATGAGTATAATAGACTCCAGCATTATAGCATATATCCAGTTCTAATGCAGACTTCAGCAAATCTTTAATTGGTGATTGCATACTAATCCCATAACAACACTTTTTGATGAGATATGCATAAGTATTAATACAGCATGAGAAGCCAAATAACACTTTCAATATGTAGCTGAAATATTGCACAACTATAGAATACCTGGAATAAAGACTGTAATGGAATAAATGTAAACATGCGTGAACACCGATACATCAATCAATAGCACTGTAATCAACAGGGGATATATTTAATATTTGCTCCATACATGAAATACATCTTACCCGTACCTCTTGTATCACTCTGCTCCGCTCCCCTTATAATGTAAGCACAATTCGGCAGGACCCTTGGCACTAGTTCATGCGCATCCAATTAGTCTTTTTGCAACTACCTATTGCAACTACTTGCTTGTCCAACCATTGTACTGCACTGCAGAGTATGTTGCTTAATAATTAATAATATTATTAGCCAGGATTCAAAGTCCTGAGTGCTGGAAACACTAAATTAAGGAAATATCATAGGCAGCTATCATGGGTAGATATGTATCAATCAAGATCTCCCTGATGGCTTCTTTTAAATATTGATACTAGAGGTTTGACATACTTACATGGAACTTGAGTAATAAAGAATTGATTCACTTAACACACAGATTGCATCTGCCGGCTAGATTATTATTATTATTATTCATGTAATGCCAACTGAACAAATCTTACATTCTATAGAAATGGGGTAAACGAATACAATAGGAAAGGCAAACTGTCGAAGGGGAGGAAAAAGATAGGTGTGATACCTCTAACTAATTAAACTTGTGAAAAAATAGCAACATTGATATATTAAAAAATCTGTACTTAGGACAAAGTATGAATATTCCAGAAGAATTGACAAAACCACCCTGAATATGACAAATACATAGTTCTAGCCTTTACCGATTTCTGTAAAAAAGGCAGCCTAAGTAGATTTCTCTCTTGCCATTAGGAACCATCAATGTCAAGTTCCGACAGGGTACTGACAGAGAAGATTATAAATGTGTAGTCTTCATTCCCATCAGATCACTTAATCCATTGGAGGCAGAGTGTCTTAAGTGGTATCATTTCACCTCTCCATAGTCTTTTGTTTCAGATTCAGTTCAGCTTGATAACTCGCTTGTTCACTGCATTCTAAAATAAGGAGATTATGCCACGTTACAAAGGCTGACATTCACAGTATTTTCCGGTTATTGTTCTGGGGGAATTGTGGGGAACAAAAGAAAAGAAATACTCTGTGTCATTGTCTATAGTATGTGTTCACCTGGAGAATCTGTAAAATATTAAATTATCAGAAAAAATATATTCAATGTAATCTCATTTGAGAAGGGTCCTCTTCAACTCTTGTATCTATAAATTATTATTTTTTTGTTAATTAATTGCTGTTTTATATCGTCACTGTGTAATTGTAAAGTACTGCAGAATATGTTGGCGCTAAAAAGTTAAGCAAAAACAATAGTTTCATGTTCTTCAACTCTGCACAGTAAGAACCCATCTCTGATTTTATCACACAGTTGGATGGCAAAACAAATATAAATCCTTGAAAAAACCAGGTGAACCTTGGACATCTAAAGCCTGAAGAAGTGAAGTTATATAATGAAGATTTTTGTGCACACTTCAACAATTCTAAAATGCTGTTAACACTAAATATGGCCTCTGTTTAATTTTTGTGGATAATCTTTTTTAATGATTTAGTATATTGAAAACACTTTGAAAATTATTTATTTGTAAAATATAAAAATATAAAAAATATATCACATGAAAAATTATATCAATATAATTTTTTTTAAATGTTAACTTAACCAAAAATACTAAATCGAGGTCTATAATAGAAAGTCGCATTGACCGCTGACATACAAATGGATACATTTACATCTTTATTAAATACTTTCCCAACAGCAAACTTTTCAAAATTTGCAAGACGTTCAGAAAATGCAGTGCGCTTGAAATAGTTTACCTGCCCCTAGGCAATGAGGGAGAGTGAATAAAGGTGAGTGAAATCACTGTCTTAATGTAAATGAGAGCATAGGTCAAATCTGTTATTTTCCCTGATGACCTCTTAGCATTCAGACTTTTCAGAGCAGAACATTTCATGATGATCATTCTGTTTGATGCAGATTAAGCAGAGAAGAGTCAAAAGGGTACTTACCTTTAAGGCAATGATTACTGAAACACGCAACATGTGTATTTGCATTAAATACCAAAGGGACTCAACATTTCAGAGCCCTAAATGAAATACCTGGGACGAGCCTGTTCTGTAAAAACAGACACATGCATGCACACATGCAGATACACAGACACACACACACTGTAACAGATTGCCTGGCACCCCAACTGTGTACCTTCCATTGACGGATGCTCTTTGTCCTTCCCGAGGGCTCCAAGCACTCCACTAGACACCATAAACACCGCAGACCCCACGAACCGCCACAGCTTGGTTGGGGTCTCGCCGTCTTTCTCCTAGTCTGGGCCCAAGACCAGGGACCAGCTTCCAGTAGGCAGACCTCTCCTAAATCCAGAGAGCAGGAACAGGAACAAGCTCTTACAAGAGCTTACTCTGGGGAGTATAATGATTATAGCAATCCCCAGAGTGTAGGTAGTTCTCCAATCCCCTCGTGATACAATTACCAAAACACAATGGACTAACTCAATTACCACAGGCAGAAAATATCCAGTTTTACCCAAAGTCCAGAAACACCCCAAAACAACAACATATCCCCATTATACATCCCAACAACAACATATCCAAAAATCACCCAGATCAGAGCTATCCAGGGATGTATCATTTGTGGGCATATGTTGTTGTTTTGGGGTGTTTCTGAACTTTAGGTAAAACTGGATATTTTCTGCCTGTAGTAATTGAGTTAGTCCACTGTGTTTGGTAATTGTATCACAGGCAGAGGGGAGGGTTTGTGTGCATTAGTGCTTGGAGCCCTCGGGAAGCACTAGGAGCATCCGTCAATGGAAGCTACCCAGTCGGGGGTGCCAGGCAATCCATTACAGTGGTGGCAGCGGTGGGATGGCATCCTAGTGCGAGGAAAAGGAGCTCAGAGACACCGGTAAAGTGTGAATTATATTAAGGGCAACGCTAGTATTCGTACAGTGCCCCTGTTCACAGCGGCATGGAGCAAGTGAGCCCCTGTACAGCAAACACATATGAGGAGGAGTTTTACTGGAGGGTGCAGAACCTTTTGGACAAACAGGATGGGCCGGTATCAGAGGAGGCCATGTTGGACCTCAAAGAGGAGGCCAGAAAGGAGCTGTTGGATGAAGCTCTGGAGAGCGCTCAGTGTTGGCGAGATAACTGTCTTCCCAGCAGGCCGCAGCGACTACAGGCCCAAATGGCAATGAGAATGCCTCTTCTTGGTGAGCTGCCACAGGGGGAGTGGGTGAAGAAATTTGAGGTACTAGTGTGGAGGGAACTATACCTCGGTGACAAGTACCAGGCGCTACGGTGGCACACTGTCCAGTGTGTTTCCCAGATGACCAATTACGAAAACCCTGAGGGCAAGGATTACAGATGACCCTGGCCGGTTCTGGGAAACATTTAATGACCCAGACTCGAGACTCCTACAGAGTCCAACTTCTGGGACATTCATAACTACCATGAAGCCAGGCTGGTTCTCCCTAACACGGTCGACCTAGGACCAGACCTATTCCATCTGGTCACCCAGGAATGGTATCTGGAGCAAGACTGCCAATATTTCCTCAGCTCAATTCGGCCCCAATCTACCCGACTGTGCAGTTGGGAAGACCTGGCTGAGTTACCCCCTGCTCCCCTACCAGCATCAAAGGGAGTGGAGATGGTCGCTCCCCCTACCCAGCATCCATCAGCGGAAGGTACCCAGTCGGGGTGCCAGGCATTCCGTTACACACACACACTCATAAAGATACACAGACACACTAATACACATACTCACATTCAGATACAGACACAGATACAAACACTGATATACATACATACATACAGTGATACACGTACATACACACAAATAACATTCACACAGATATACATGTAGACACACTAATAAAACATGCACATATATATGTATGTTTTTTAAACTAATCTCTGTGGCTTGTATAAATAGTTTTATCGCATTACGAAATACATTGATTGCTTTTAGATGCTTATTTCATACATAAAAACCCTTCTCTTTAATCATGCAATTTCACATTACTGTAATGCATTCAGTTGTAGGCAACAAGCAAAAGTATTAAGCCTATATACTACCAGTGAGGTAGTATATGGTAGTGATGGTATTATAAAAAAAAGAAGTTAATGTAAGGACTGACAGAGGGGTGAGGTGTGAGAGGACTGACTAGAGAGGAAAATCAGTCTGGCGGCAGCACTCATTACAGACTGTAGTGAGGCAATACGGCTTTTGGGAAGACTGATTAGGAGAGGGTTACAATAATTCATGCAGGAAATTACTAGAGCATGGACAAGCTCCTTTGTAGCATCTTGTGTAAGAAAGGGGCGGATGCAGGCTATGTTTTTAAGATGGAGTCTACAGGATTTGGCAACATACTGGATGTGAGGCTTAAAGGTGAGGCCAGAGTCAAGTATGACACCAAGACAGCGTGCTTGCAAGGATGGACACCACAAACTTGAAGGGAGAGCAAAAATAAAAAAGGGGGATTAGTATTAGGATGAGGAAAGACAAGGAGCTCAGTTTTAGAGAGACTGAGTTTCAGAAAGCGGGAGGACATCCTGTCAGAGATGGAAGGAAGGTAAGCAGTGACATGTTGCAGGACTGCAGGGGAGAGGTCCAGGGAAGAGAGATATCTGGGTGTCATCAGTGTACAGGTGGTAGTGGAATCCAAATGATGTAATAAGTTTGCCAAGAGAGACAGTATGAAGAGAAAATAGAAGGGGACCAAGGACAGATCCTTGATATTGACTGACCTGAGCTCTTGATGGCTTTTAAATCCTATTTTTCCATATTGTTTTTTCTGCACTAAGTTTACGTGAGAAAATTGAGAAACAATCAGAAAAACATATAAAAATTAATTACCAACGGTCTACCTCTAACCACAGCTATATTATTATTAGTAGTAGTAGTATTGCCATTTATATAGCGCCAACAGATTTTGTAGCACTTTACAAGATGAGAAGGGGGGATTTAACTATAAATAGGACAATTACAAGAAAACTTACAGGAACAATAGGTTGAAGAGGACCCTGCTCAAACGAGTTTACAGTCTATAGGAGGTGGGGTATAAAACACATTAGGACAGGAAATAGCAATCAAATAAGGTGGGAGTGAAGCTGAACTGGAAGATAGAGTAGAGTGCTGCCCTAGGAGAGAGCAAGAGACAGGTATGTAAGGTTGAGGTTACTCTGGGAGGCCATGAGCTTTCCTAAAGAGATGGGTTTTAAGGGACTTTTTAAATGATTGAAGACTAGGGGAGAGTCTGATGGCGGTAGGCAGGCTATGCCATAGGAAGAGAGCCTCCCTCGAGAAGTCCTGCAAGCGCAAGTTGGCTGATTGGGTGCGTGCAACGGACAGGAGAAGGTCACGGGCAGAGCGGAGAAACTGAGAAGGGGCATACCTGTGGATCTGTGAAGAGATATAAGAGGGACTAGAATTGTTCAGTGCTTTATAGGCATGGGTTAGCACTTTGAATTTACTCCTATGGGATACAGGAAGCCAATGTAAGGACTGATAGAGGGGTGAGGTGTGAGAGGACTGACTAGAGAGGCACCAGCACTCATTACAGACTGTAGCAGGGCAATACAGCTTTTGGGAAGACCAATTAGGAGAGGGTTACAATAATCCATGAGGAAATTACTAGAGCATGGAACAGCTCCTTGGTAGCATCTTGCATAAGAAAGGGGTGGATGTGGGCTATGTTTTTAAGATGGAATCTACAGGATTTGGCAAAATACTGGATGTGAGACTCAAATATGAGGCCAAAGTAAAGTATGACACCAATAAAGGGCACTTGCAAGGATGGACTTATGTTGATATCACTAACTTGAAGGGAGAGCAAAAGAGGAGGATCAGTATTAG